AGAATGACGTCAGATAGAACGGAAACCCCTTGACCATGAATGATAAGTATGCACAGTCTTAATTCTATCTTATGGACTTTTCCCACGCTAAAAATAAGCATAGAAAATTGTCATTAACTAAAATTAAAATAATTACCCTTTGCAATTGTAATCTTAAAAACCCAGTATTTACAGTCAAACCCAGCTCGAGTTGTGTCATATTACTTTATCAGGAAATTCTTTCATGTCGAAAAATTTACTCATATTAATGTTAGATTACATTGAGACTAATAATGAGTAATTATATTAGGGAAAACACATGTTAAGCAGCACGAAGCCAGTAATATTTCAGTGGAAATGAAACACGCTATGAGTATCGTGAGTGGAATCCATTATATGTATTACGGGCAATTTCACTACGTTATATCCTTTTAATATACGATATGAAAATGTTTTCTCCAAAGGTCTTCTTGTATTATTGTTGTTATATTGTGTTCAAGTTAAAATTGTACATAGATATTGTGTGTTGTATATATATTTAACTGCAGAAATATCTTGAATGGATTAGTGTCCTGATATTTCGATCGCTTATAAAATATATTGAACAACACAAAGCATTTTTTTTCTATTCAAGAGTGCTTTAAAATACATATGAAATACAGGCACTTACTTCACAAATTTTAGTCCTAGAAAGGATGGAATTATTAACAGGAACGGTGAAATGTCTTGTATTTTGTATTAGCTCAAGTTACACGTAAAGCTTTTTACGAAACCACAAAGTTAGTTTTTTTTACACGTTTACATTTTAAATGTATGTCTTAAAGTTAGAATCAAAAAGGGGTTTACTCATTATTAAACACAATTTTACCTAAAACTACTTCTTTAAAATGATATCACTTTACAAATTGATTATCCCTCGAAATCCTACACGAGCCATCCAGCGTGAAGTAGAGACTGAAAGTTTGATCAAGAATAAAATCAATAGGCCTATAAACCGAGGTGTTTGAGAGAACATTGAGTTTTATTGGACTTTTAAGTGAAACCCTTCTTAGTGCCGAGATTTTATTTCCCGTGCATCGGTTTTCATTGAATCGCATCTCATCCAAATTACGTTTCTTTCTCAACGTTTTAACAACTGTAAATAGCATTTATACTAACTCCAAAAATTACTATGAACATACTATGGTATAGATTGTTATTAATCCATAAAGAAGACTGCCTACCTTTTACTACAAAGCTACAAATAATCGTTTAAAATTAGTCACTTTATAAAGCAAAGAAATCTGAATAATTTGTTTTAAATGTTTTCTCACGAAAAAAAACTAACAATTATCCACTGATTAACAACTTAACACTATTGACAAACGAATAAATTGGCTGAGAACGTTAACGGTACAAAGCGCCTATGTTTGAATTTAGAATATTCAGCGCTTTGAAACGGCAACTCATTATCGTGTATAAGCCCGTAGCAGACGACGCATACAGACAGATCAGCTGATATAATTGGATTAGGAGTAAGACAGGAAGATCAGTTTACGTTGAATTGTGTAGCATGTATGCAGCTGTTGAACCTCTTATTTCGTGATTATCTCAGGGTACATACAAAATAGCGAATCCGTATTTTGTGGAAGGATAGTTGTATACCAATAAAAATGTTGAAATAACAATCGAAGTTAAAAAGAATTACCGAATTCTAAATAATTAACCAAAAAAACATGCGATCATTATTTTCAGATTTAAAAAAATTCAGGTGACCGTTGTGTTTTAACATTTTCATATGAATAGTGTCACGTATTTCATCAAATGTGTCTCATATATTAACAAGACAAAACATGTTTACCATTGCTCATTATTTGAAAAATGTAAGTCTAATCACTAACTCCGAACAAATCACATAAAAACTCCGTTTAAGCTTACACTACAAATTTTTGTAAAATCTTAAGCTTGTCTCCGTGTGAGTCCCTCTTCTTCTTACGCTCTACTGTCAAATAACTAATGTTTCCATTTTATTTAGGGTTTAATTTACTAATATCGCTTTGGATTACCTCGGATATTTCCCTTAAGATATTTCCTTAGAATACCAAGGAACTAGCAGTATTTTAAAAATATATCTTTCTATTACGTCATAATGGTTTTATTGTTGGGTGCATAAGTGAGGATATTTAATCTTCGGTATTTATTTAGTTGTTCCTTGCAATTTTTGCCCAAAATAGTTATTTTTTTCTAATCCGGAACCATACTATCAAACAACTACATCTTTAAATCATACCATTACCCATGAACCTAGTCAGATCTTTATCTTGTGTATTGTAAGATAGCGTGCAGCTAGGTAGGAGTTGTTTACACCCTCATTGACCCGCCCCGTCTATATGTCTATCTTGATTGACTCATCATTTCAGTGTTCCAAGACATCCATTCGGTTGTCCTTTTGGTCTCAAATATCCTATTACTCCAAAAAACCTAAGTCTAATAAATCAATTACATGTTTTTTCCAATCTCAACTATTCTGTTAACTAAAACAGACGGTTTCCTTCATATAAAAAATCTTCTCATTAAATGTAATTGGTTATCATAAACGCCACAATACATCAAATTGTTCATGAGGTTGCTCATTAAGGAAAATAAGTATTAAAAATCAACGTACGGAATGAAACAAACAAAGAACTGTTAATGTGTAAATTTGAATATTTGTAGAACTGTGATTTTACAGTAAATATATTGTAAACATTTTGTAGAATTTTGAGTGGTGGGCCTATACACATTCTCTACTTCAAATATAACAGAAAGGGGGTTTATATGACTGGAGCTAAATAATGTAGGAACTGATTAAATATTTCTTGGTGTAGAAACTGTTTCGATATTTTGTAGAAAAAAAGTAGAAACCTCGCACAACATTATTGAGTATTTTATCAAGAAAATATCACCAAAAAATCGTCTTAAACAATGTAATTGATATGAATTTTCCCTACAGGGTATTTTAATACAACTCATTCCGATTAAGAGAAGGAAACCATTAGATGTTAAATAAAAACCAAATACTTTACTAATTAAATTATTAAATGCATCGCAACAGTTATCGGGTAATCTACTTCGATACGACATACATAGTGCAGTTATTTGTAACTTTACTATCAATGTAAAAGATGATGATGGTATTTCAAATGCATACAAACGAACTACACATTGTATGATAAATATAACATCAATGGACCATTATTCCCTACCATAATGACTCGTTCCCAACCATTTCCCTCCCCCCCCCCTCGGATGAGTCAGGACATGCACACGCCTCTGGTCGTCTCCCCAGACACTAAATTATAAAGCCAATTTGATCGAGTTTTAAGCAGCTTGTTAGTCGGATCACGCGATTCGTCTTTCAGAGCCATAAATCTTCGCTAATGTCTCTTTAAAACCTTAACAAAAATTCCGCCTGCTATCGTTCTAGAACTGTATATTCCAAAGTTTTATAGCGGGTTGCCGTTGTATAGATATTTCCAGCCGAACTTATTTTTGTATTCATATAAAAAAAATTATAGGCATGTATTAAGGGAGTGTATAATCAATTTCAGAATTGTTAGTTTTCAGCGTATAAAGTAATTTAATATATTCCAGGCAGTAACAGTCGTTTTAGATTTAGGTTTAGGTTTTAGATTTAATCATCAGTGATAAATGCGATTTCAGAAGTAGGTGTGAACTTATTTAAAAAAAGAACTATTCATGACAGCGTAAACTGAATAACTAAATAGTATTGATATTTGCTTAAAACTCGTAATTAGTTAACGTGCCAAATTGAGCATCAAATAAAATTCATACTAATAAAAACAATAAAGATTACAACAACATTCTTAAAATCTATAAAAATATATAGATTTACACGGAAATATACATTAAGTATACCGGTATTCAAGCCTAGATATTTCCCAGTGCAAAATATACACACCGTAAAGGTTTTATAATGAAATATAATAAATCAATATAGCTTTGGTAGTCAATATATTTTAGCCTTTTTTTATTGTCTTCAAAAAACCAAAAGTAATTTATAAAATGTATCATGCACAACCCAACAATCAGTACAAATGTCTGCATAACGTCATTTCATTTAAAACTTTAGGAAGGGCGTAGTCGATGTTTATTTCCCGCATTACAAAGTTTTCCAATATTTCTGGTCCATTGGCTTCCCTAAAATGGTTGCAGCTAGAATTTTCTGAACGCATGTAAAATTGGGGGATTTAAAAAGAATTATATTCAGTTTTAAAAATTGAAATTCTCTTAAAAATTATGAAAAATACCGCCATTATAATAAAACCGCATCAACAGACGTATATTTAAAATTTACCCTCAGCAAAAACATTTTGTTTGTAAAAGGACAATAAGCGATGTTAAATATCTCAATGATAAATAGTCGCCATAAGTCCACTGTGTAGGCTTACTGTAAACAAGCCGGCTATATAAGCTTATTTAATAGAATAGTGAATATTACATTGGATTGATGCTGGGCCTGATTTGTCAATGTGGGTACTATCTCTTACTTCTTATATAATTAGTATAAGCTCAAAGAAAAACTTTAAGTTTTTCATAGAATTAAAATACTTTTTTTTAATAATTCGTCACTTTTAGCACTAACATATTTGGTCTCAAGCAAAGAAATGTCATTTAACGTGATGAGTTTTGCAGTTTCTTTTATTTACTTCGATAAGATTATTTTATCAAACAAATTGCTGTAATATTTTTTTTTAACTTTATTTAATTTACAATCTGTTCAAGTTATGACAAGATTTAAATTTAGGTCGATGTCTCTGTCCTTAGATAAAATCTATTAATGATATAATCAAAAAAATAATCTCCATAAAATTCACCACACGTGTGATGTTCAGAATGAGTCAAATATACTATGTAATAAATTGTAAATAATACATACACCATGGTGACTGATCACGTGTGTAATGTTATGGATACAAACTGCGTCGCTTGCAGTTATTACAGTTATCGCTTAATAATACCATTTTGTGTACACTACATACCTTATTCTTGGGTAAACTTTCAACACAAGAACACAAGTTATGTTAGTAATTTTCCTCCCTACAACAAAGACATTCAGTTAACTCTTTTGCATCGTTAATGAGTTTAATAAATTTAAACAGAGGATGAGAGCCGGCCAAAATGAGTATAGTTACCCTGTATAACTCACACACATGTGGAAGTAGTGGACTTTAGATGGAACATTTGGCACAGCCTACACCTATTATTTGCAACAGATAAATGTCCACTATAACCGTCGACACCCCTCACAATAAGGCTTTCGCACCCTAAACATAATCAACATTCATATTTCTGCGCAATTGCTGAAACCTCTCTTGGCATCGCAATTGCTAACATTACGTTATACATTGTACAAGTAAGACTTCACTTCTCATAATAAACTGAGGATTGTTTATTGTCTTAGCCCCATCAAATAATAGTGATAATGGTTTAGGAGACTTACAAAATAGTGTGTTGTAGATGGTACTGAGTGTTAGTGAGTAACAAATGCGAAAGTTAGTGGTAGTGAGTAAAAGTTAGAGCTTATTAGACAATACATATTGTTAAATAGAGAATGATACTACAGGAAGTCAATTCAAGTTTCAAGTTTGTACGTAGTATAAAGCAAAAAGTCCATGATATTTATAGATTTTTTTATGGTCTCTTCATCTAGACTTTAGTGTTGTTGCTTTCTTACGTTGATCTGCTGTCAGAAATGCCGTTTGATTTACATTAATTTACTGATGAGCTTTTCCAGGTCTCAATCATTTTACCTTTGTAATTTAAGTTCTATGAAAACATAACCGTTTTGTTGCTTAATGTGTTTTACAGTACTACGTACTACGTACAGTACTACGTTTTGTTGATTAATGTGTTTTACAGTACTGAGTAATCAGTAATTCAGTTGCTTCTAAACTACGGACATTTGCTCGGGGGATCTGTCCAAACCAGCGTATGGTTTCTTTCCAAACGGCAATACGTTGGAACTTCAATTTTCATAGCTTAATGGTACACCTTTTTTTTAAACGATTCTGTTTAGCTTCCGATTCAAAGTTGAGCCGAATAAAAATATGCATACAAGCCTAAGATACTGCAATTTGAGCTTACTGTAACATTTAAGTCAACCATCATGTGTTTAATGTCTTATCTTTATATGATTTTCAAGGGTAAAGTTTAGGTAGAGTTGCTTTGTCATAGTATTTTAATCTTGGCAATTTACTTAATATACGGATTACTTACTAGAGGTCGTCCAGTTGTAGAAAACTCGACCAAAAATATGTAATGTACATACTTCTCTATTTTCACCCCACGCTGTGAATAAAACAATGTGATTGGAGTTGCTTCCATTTGTTTTGATTTTCTATTTATATTTCGTTGTTGTTTTGTTACCAGCATGTCAACCCATAAGACCCACGTTAATTTTTCTTTTTAAGCTACTAGGGCAGGGCCCGAGGGACATTTTTCAAAAATGTAAGGTCAGTTTACAAATCTACACACCTAGACGAACATTTTGGTATATAATATGTGGGGTTAAAATCTTAAAACAAAAAGCCTTATTGTTCACAAAATTTCGTGTAGCGTATTAATAATATAGATGGATGTATATAGTAATATTTAACATAGTAGAATATTATTAAATTAATAGAAAACGTAAACACACTAGAACGTTAATTTACAGAAACTAGTTTGAAATTGTTAGCTTATCTCCAAGGACAATAACTCTAAAAAATGAGTACGTTTCGTAATCGTGAAGTGTTAGAGTGGTAAAGGTGTAAGTAGGTTATCATAGTGATTCACATAACTTGTAAGTATATTGTTGGCAGTGTCTGCGTGTCGGACTATACAATGTTAAAGGTAAAGGCAATGGTAAAGGTGTAAGTAGGTTATCATAGTGATTCACATAACTTGTAAGTATATTGTTGGCAGTGTCTGCGTGTCGGACTAGACAATGTTAAAGGTAAAGGCAATGGTAAAGGTGTAAGTAGGTTATCATAGTGATTCACATAACTTGTAAGTATATTGTTGGTAGTGTCTGCGTGTCGGACTAGACAATGTTAAAGGTAAAGGCAATGGTAAAGGTGTAAGTAGGTTATCATAGTGATTCACATAACTTGTAAGTATATTGTTGGCAGTGTCTGCGTGTCGGACTATACAATGTTAAAGGTAAAGGCAATGGTAAAGGTGTAAGTAGGTTATCATAGTGATTCACATAACTTGTAAGTATATTGTTGGCAGTGTCTGCGTGTCGGACTATACAATGTTAAAGGTAAAGGCAATGGTAAAGGTGTAAGTAGGTTATCATAGTGATTCACATAACTTGTAAGTATATTGTTGGCAGTGTCTGCGTGTCGGACTATACAATGTTAAAGGTAAAGGCAATGGTAAAGGTGTAAGTAGGTTATCATAGTGATTCACATAACTTGTAAGTATATTGTTGGTAGTGTCTGCGTGTCGGACTAGACAATGTTAAAGGTAAAGGCAATGGTAAAGGTGTAAGTAGGTTATCATAGTGATTCACATAACTTGTAAGTATATTGTTGGCAGTGTCTGCGTGTCGGACTATACAATGTTAAAGGTAAAGGCAATGGTAAAGGTGTAAGTAGGTTATCATAGTGGTTCACATAACTTGTAAGTATATTGTTGGCAGTGTCTGCGTGTCGGACTATACAATGTTAAAGGTAAAGGCAATGGTAAAGGTGTAAGTAGGTTATCATAGTGATTCACATAACTTGTAAGTATATTGTTGGCAGTGTCTGCGTGTCGGACTAGACAATGTTAAAGGTGTAAGTAGGTTATCATAGTGGTTCACATAACTTGTAAGTATATTGTTGGCAGTGTCTGCGTGTCGGACTATACAATGTTAAAGGTAAAGGCAATGGTAAAGGTGTAAGTAGGTTATCATAGTGATTCACATAACTTGTAAGTATATTGTTGGTAGTGTCTGCGTGTCGGACTAGACAATGTTGCCAAGTTGTGGCGACTTATCAACAAGAGGTGCAATCACGCCATGGCAACTACGTCAGTTTACCAACTAAAACTGAGTCCATTACCTGTAATGCAACGCGGTTTCATACACAGAAAGGTACGGAAACTACGAGATGTAAAGGAACGACCCAGCGTTCCCTCATATGCTTTTTAGCATCGTTGCAAAGAATTATGTTCTAGCGGGTACTATTCACCACATATATTGAGTTTGTATGTATATCTAGGATTTTCAAAAATTGTACACATATTTAGTGACATTCATGAAGTCACTTTAGAAGCTCGTAAAAATTGTTTCATAGGGTTGTTTTTTTTTAATGTAAATACGAATTTGATATATTCAAATTAAGTAACAGCATTGAGTATACACGTGCATACTCAATGGTAAGCGATAAAATTGTACTGTGAGTTTTCGGACAAGTTGAATAAATTATTCTAGGAAAATATTAGAAAGTCACAGTTATAGAATCAAAACAGCTAAATCAAATAAGAATGTTTGCGGAATTTCAAAATGTATGTAATATTTTTAAAGAAAGAACTTTTTCCGTCTAGCACCATAACGGAAAAACTTAGCATTTGATGCTCTTTTATTCTCTTAATCAAGTATTTTACTACAGTATTTAATCCGAAGTCAAATTTGTCTAATAAAATAACAATTAAATGTAGATTTTTCAAAACGTGCTTAAAAGTCATAAGTAATACATATCTCGATATACCATCATCACTTTTTTATGGTAATGAATTCATCATTGCCTCCAGGATAACAGTACAGTACAGTACAGTACAGTACAGTACAGTACAGTACAGTACAGTACAGTACAGTACAGTACAGTGCAGTACAGTACAGTATGGTAATTACTGTATATTATACAGTACATTAAAATTGCCATATATTTGTTGAATATCGAAAAATGTTTTTGAATCAAGCAAAATCAATATACATTTCCAATATACATCAATATACATAGACGGGCGGGTCAATGAGGGTGTAAACAACTCCTACCTAGCCACACGCTATCTTACACTATACTATATGGTAGATAGTTACTTGGTGTGAGATGAAACTATAAATGAAAAAAGTATACAGATTAGTATAAATAATAACCTATGAATTGAGACCTATTATTCTAGTAGCTAATCTAATTATTAATAGCTATTTTTGCAAGAAACTCGGTTACACAGGAAAGTCCCAATTAGTATTGCAAGAATAACCTGTACTGAAAGATAAACATGAAACTCGTGTCTGAACTAGAATTCCATGTCCCGTTCCTATAGGTATTAGGGTTACAAACAGTGTTTTTGTGTTTTTTTTTTTTTTTTTTTTTTTTTTTTTTTTAGTTACGTTGACCAATTAAGTTACCGACTATGTATGCTCCAAAATACCATTTCCTTTTACATACCAACCTTTTCTTACACCAAAATGAAATGGGCTCCTATTAGTATACACTATGCCCCTATCTACTATCATATTACATTAAAAAATAATACATAAATTAATGTTAACTAGAACTGTTTCATAGGAATGCAATATTGAATCACTGCGGTGTATTATGGAAGGCTTTTATCTAATGTGATGGTTGGTCAAAAATTATTATTGAATCGTGTTTCTGGATAGCTTTGCCACGAAGATACCTAAATCAAACTTTTGTATGGTTTTCCAAAGTGTTACACAAGGTTTAGTAATGAGGAAAGTGACAATTTTGTACTGTCCCAAAGATGTTTACCAGTTGAAAATGAAAACAATTGGAGCCATCAAAACAGTCAGACCCTTTGATCACTTCAGTACCGTAGATCTCTGTTGTCAGTACAGACCTCTCTATCATCTCGAGAAGCTGACATTGTTGATGGAAAATGTTCTCCTAATACAACTACAGCCTACAATGAATACTGATTATTATAAATCCCATACTTAGGTACTATTTAAACTCCTAAATAACTTTGTTGAATAAAATTGCAAACCCACTAAATTTCAGTCAATAAAATTAGGTCGAGCATTAATTGCGCCAAAGAGTTCCCTAATTGCGCCAAACCCTCAAAGGGTCCCAAAAAATGTTCCTTACTTGCGCCAAGCCCAAACC